AGATTCTGCTTCTGAAGCTTAAACAGCTGAACCTCGTGGTTGTCCCTTGCTCTAAAACAAAAGCGGCAAATACACCTCCTGGATATTAAGAAATTAACTAGAATTGCACAAAATAATCGTTTTCAGAGACTCGGTACTCTAGCTTTGCTCATTGCTGATTTCTGCATGTTTTGCCTAAGTATTGTAAAAAGTAAATAAACAGTGAAATGATTTGGAATGGAGAACGCACCACTTGATTTTGTGATGCGATGTATAACCAAGAATAATGCAAATGAGCATTTTTTTTTTTTGCAAATGAACACCACGGAAGACTACGATACTTTTAACAAACAATGCAGGCAGCATCTACGACGTATGGAAATGTTTCATTGATACTTGCGTGATACTTGATACATAACATCTTTGGCTACCGCCTCACTACTGAATCATATGCGGAAAATCGTATTCTGTGACGTAGAAGAGAATCATCGGTCTTAGGCTTTTCGCATCCACAACACATCATACATTCGAGTTAGTCTGCGAGCCCAGCGCTTCGATGGCCTTCCATCTGTTCTTCTATCTCATCGTACGTAGCAATCATGGTAGACATTCGTTTTGTTCATCTGTTGTCTGACTGATACTATCACCTGTAAATTGTAGGTGCGTAACGTGGACGAGCTTGAGATGGAAATCGCCCCGGTGGTATTTCGTTACGGGCAGCGGCATTACAACGGAAATGCGGTACTCATTTTTTTGTAGAAAAAAGTCTGCTGTGATAGGCAAAAACTCCAAATTTGATGTCGATAATAAGGGGACTGTTGCAGAGGGAATACTTCAACGAAGGAACTGTCCGGTTGTTCTGTAGCCAAGTGGTATGTACTATTGCCGATCTACTTGAGGTCGAGGTGGATCCGGTCTGCATCGAAGCCTGGATCGAAATGATGCGTTACGTTGGCTCCAAACTCCTCGACGGTTTTAACTATGAGCGGATGCGTCAGAAGAAACTAACTGTAAATACCAGTGATCATCCCTTCTACATGCTCTAGCCATCGGTGTTCATTACGAATTTCTCTCATGTTTTTTTTTTTTTTTTAGTTTCTTTTTTCTATTTTTCTGTCATTGAAAATATGGTCTTGTGTTTTTAATAAGCACTGTAACATGAATCTTTATTTGTTGTGAAATGCAAGCAGTTATGTCCGGATGATTCAAATCACACGAGTTGGAGCTGATGTTTCAAAACAATTGTCCTTTACCGATCACTTTCGGCACGAATTAACATTTCTTTCTCATTCCTTACGCCCTGGGCTAAAATCTGAGCCCCAGTTATATCTCATTTGCAAAATCCCAGGATAAAGCGAACTTCTGAAGCATAAAAGACTCAGACTGCGCATGTTTTAGATAATACATCTGGAGGAAGATTTCTGATTATTCGTATGTATTTCTCCGAACCAGAGCAAGCTACAAAACTAAAAATTTTCCGCATCCATTTCTTGACCTCCCCAGATGCGACCCCACAAACTGAAATTCAGCATTCACTTACTACGTCTAGATCTCACGTATAAAAAACTATAAGTTTTGGCCTGCACATACCAAGCAGCAAAGCAATGAACATCTCTAACAGGAAATCTCTACTAAACAAAATTGTGCAAAACGCGTGATCTCACTAGCTAGCCTGGTGCGTGCTGTTATTTTACTTTTTCTC